GTGTGTAGATGGCGTCGTGTGGCCAGTGACTATAATCAACAGTCTGATATATAGCAATTAAGAAGCCCTAACAACGGAATTAAAATTGGAGAAAGGCCCAAGGTTTCTCTGATATCGTTTACCTGACTGAAAGGAACAGGCTTCCCACGTAGAAAGGTCTGGCCACAGGTCGGGTGCTCGAATCCAACGTCGCAGCCTGTGTAATTCGGGGCCCAGTTGTTGATCACCTCTTCCCTGGCCTCTGCGTTCACAACCTAGTTCAAAGTGTGCGATCAATACAACTGGTACCTGCTCTGCTGGTATAGACTCCATCGTACAGTGGTAAAAGATTCTTTACCATAATTTGATGAAATATCGACGCATTTCGTATGATTAACCTTTTGAGCACTATGAACCACATATATGCCTTCTACATAATCGTTCACCATGGAATATGAACCCATATATGGGTATTCGCATAACCATTCAATTTAGGCTATGCAGGGATTTATGGATTTGCACATAACTATTCAATTTGGGACTATAAATGCATATATGTGATTCATACTTAGCACACGCTTAATATGCTAGGTCATACAATCCAGTGCTCAAAGGGTTAAGCAACAAAATTGGGATTTTTTACTCTCCCGATACTCACACTTTGGAATGTCAGACCGTACAACTGCAGCACGGCTTCCTGGCGCACTTTGATCACGTAGGGATTCTGCAGCGGGATCTTCTGCATCGTCAGAGGGTCCAGCACGTGGTCTATCACCACGAATTTTTCCTCAATCTCGGTCTGTCAAAAACACCTCTTATTATTCCTCCTATAGTAATTAGGAAACGGAAAGAATTGATAGGAAATTAATATTCAATCAGAACACCTGGCCAATATTGATGAACCTCATGCTGATCACTATCTTCCTCGTGCAGTTGGTTATCGTTCCTCGATCCTGTTCCTCGACGTCCCTACGTTTCCGACGAACGTCAACGTAATCTGTCGTCATCCTACAGACGAAAACCAAAGTAAGTATTTCAGATACCTGAATATTTAAATTCGAGTCTAACACGTATGATGTGTGGTTCTGAGAACCGAAGGGACTCGGGTTAAAATTAAAGAAAGCTTCTTGTTGCACAAAGCTAGCCATGGGTTTCTCATGATGGATGCCTTCTCGCAATATGCTATACTTATCCAGATACTGACCACTTGAGTGTGTAATAAGTAGCAGTTTCGTTTACATACACTTTATTACACTGATAATTGCTACTTGCTTGATTGCTACAGAGATATACCATGCCTTTTATACCACGTCTTTTGGTGTGCTGTCTTCCACACTACATGCCTTCCATTTTACGTTTTCCCATGTATACTTCGTTCGGCTAATAATTATCGAGAGCCATCGCGAGCACTGCCTTTTATACCACGTCTTTTGGTGTGCTGTCTTCCACACTACATGCCTTCCATTTTACGTTTTGTGTTTTACGTTACATGTATACTTCGTTCGGCTAATAATTATCGAGAGCCATCGCGAGCATGGAGCCGCTGCCATCTGTCAGCGTCCGCTTGAACCCGATTTTCAGTTTCGCTTCTTACAAACTATAACTCGTGTTACCTCTCTTTCCCGATCGCGGAGCAACGAGACAGCACTGCCTTGATCTCGATCGACGGTCGATCCCATTCCTCGAAATCTCGATCTTGCTTCACGCCGATGAATCTGGATGGGCAGTTAGGGTTCCTGGACGGATGTAACCAAGGGACGTACTGGAACTGGGAAACGTAGCGAGATCGCGAGGTGGTCATTCTGGGACAAGAGACGACTGTCATCTGCACAGATCGAGAGGAACAATCACTTCTAGGATTTTTGCTGAGAGCCTGGATCAATTATCGACTTAATCTTCGTGTTACCCAGAGGATCAGGAGGTGCCAGAGTGCCGGTAACATGTTGGGTCATCCGTCAGGGAACTCATTCTCGGAACAGGCACGCAGCCTGGAATTTGTGCAATCGTGAGATCAAATTGGAAGTTTAGTCGTTCGTGGATGCTGATTGTTTTCGATCTTCTCGACTGGGATCGATTACGTTTTTCCCTTCGACGGTCTTGGGGTTAGATGCAGAGGAACGTCGAGACGCTCGTCTGTTTCCCGATAGGTCGAGCTGTAATCGAATCTTAAGCTTCTGAGCAACTTTCGATCATCGACAACGTAAGGTTGGTCAACTGGTTCTGCCTATGATGAATCCGAAATTTTGAAAATTGTCAATCTTTGTATCAATTGGTTTGGAGGGTGAAGAACTCGTAGATGAGAAATTGGATGTTGATGGATTAATAAATAGCTTTAAGGAGGTGAATTTCGTTGAACAATATGTTCAGTATGAATAGATATAATTTAAAGGACATATGTCAAATTGGGTCCTGACACTAGTGATGATGTACGTCAGATTGATACTGTATTGCTGGTAGTGGCATGACTGAGTTCATTGCTACTCTGTCACTTATTAGTTTCCATTGTTTGTTGATGTACAAGATACTAATTATTTAAATTAATTTTCATTCTGTCAGTTATTAATCTCGTAGTAAGATATATTGTTCCATTATTTTATTTATTTATTTATTGAAACTTACTGGCAAAGCCCTTTTTAGTAAATAAGTGGTATAAAATATGCACACAAATAGGGAAAGGTATACAGTGGACAATGAAAGGTACAACACTATTCACTAGGTTATATAGGAAAAGTAAAATTAAGTAGAACAGGATTACATAATAATTAATAATGCCAAGAAATGATGACAACATGTTATTATGTGGCCCCTAACAGTTATTACTGTCAAGTGCATCAAAATAAAATTCATTATAGTAGTAGTATTGACAAGAAATACATTTTGTGTATGAAATATTATGAATATAAGATTGTCTAGAGAATAGCAAATAATTGTGTCCTAGTACAAGTGGAATATAGTATACCTCCATCTAAAGATAGGTTATATTGACATCATATCACTACTAGTAATTTGAAGTCAATTTGACGTCATGCTACCACTAGTACTATGAAAATATTGGTCATCATTTGAAGGATAAGGAAAAGAAATCTTGCCCACCTGGGAGAAATTAAGACGAACCACCACTTGTATATAAACCATATTTATTTGCCATATGAGTTATCAGCCATTTACATTTTGTCGTGGATGACGGCCCTTCCTGTTAGGACCCTCTGAGCGTCGTTTCGACAAACGGAATTCTCCCCTTCGTCCGAATCACGATCATCGTGAACGCACGCGTCGAACGGTCCCTCGTATCGCTTAAGTACTGCTTAAGAATATCACAGATCGCGATTCTTGCGTAAACGCACTAAAATTGTAACAACCTTCGCTAGCCGTCGGCGCGCGGCAACGAAATTTCCGCGCGGAAATCCCTCTCGCGGCACGATTGGTTCCTCTCGTTGGAATGCGAACCATCTGCGTCTCCGTTTTTAATAATTCATTTATTTTCTTCGACGACCAAGGGGAATTGCGAGCGTCGCGACGAGCAGCCCACCGATCTCTGTCCCCCAAACTCGACAACAGAACGAGCTACCCGGAAACAGCTGCTCGACGAGGGACAAGCGAAACGGTACCGTAAAAGTATTTTGTGCAAGGAACGTTTATAAAGGGAACAGTGAGAGGCTATTGCGTGAACTTGCTCGAACTGTAAACGAATCGTCGTGAATTCCGTGGATATTTCTTATATCTACGGTGCTGGTAAAACGTCGGTATAGAAAGCGGGTAAACAGGGGTATCGAAAAGAGGAGTGCGACTCGGTGTAATAGGTGGCGCTGGTGCGTCGAGGGTACAGCGGGCTGCTCGTCGGGATCGACTAGGATGAACTGAAACCCGATTATCCGTCGAGAACCGAGCTAAACGGTGTCACGAATAAAAGCGAAGCGTCAATCGAAATTTGTGTCCGTACGGAGAAGAACCGAGCGAAATACAGGTGAATAGAAGCGCGCGCTAACCAGCTTGGTCTCTCTAAGTCTTTATGGTACCAGCGTAAGGCTATCTATCCGTGATTTGAAAGAGACTTCGAATCGACGTTGCTTCTCTTTCGGTTACAAGCGGACAGCTGGCTCACGCTGGTCCATGTCAACTAAACTAAACTAAACCGAAAAGGGTCGGGACAGGGACCACGTTATTTACAAACTTTACAGACTAACAGGAGCGAAGACAAGCAGTGCGCGAGAAAACTAAATGATCCGCCTCGTAAGTGTTCGCAGTTTGCGTTCGTCAACCCGTTTGCACGAGATGCCCTGATCAACGAGCATCCGGTTATCCTCTCGCGAAGAACATCGACTTCCATCGAGGCCTAATCTCGATCTTCGGCGAGTTATCGACTGTACTCGTTGCTTGAACAGTCCTAGACATTGTGTTCGTTAGCCTTCTTACGCGGTATTCTAACTCGAATAAAACGCGAAGTAGAGTTTACTCGTCGTTATTACAGAGGCGCTCGTGTCAATCGCGTTCACGTGACTACAACATGGCCGTATGCTTTATCTCGACTACCGAGAAACGCTCATTCCGCTAATGAACAACATCGTTCGCTAATTCCATTGGCAAACTTACCGATACCCTACCGATACGTGACAAACTGAACGATCGAAGCGCTTTTGCAAATTTGCTTATTCCAATGTGTGTACGTGTACGTCTCCTTTCCGTTACTCGTTTTCTTCGTCTCGTATCCCATACACACGCACGCAGGCACGCAGAAGGCACACACACACGCACGCATATCTCGTCTGTTCTTCCGTACAATTTATTGCTTCCACTATAATAAATCTAAGGTCTTCTAAAGCGTCATAGGGAGAGATATTAACATTAACGGCGCATTTAAACGAGCTTCCACGACCAAACGGAGATCGAGTCTTCACGGCTGGCCGTTGCTTAAACTCTGAAAACGCTGTAACAAGCTTAATCCATCGATTGATCCTTCGTCGTCGCGAATCAAACGGTCCTCTCGTCGATCGAACCATCGAAATGCAACGCTCCTCGATCTTTCGATGTATCTTTCCACTCTAGCTCCGGACAGAACACCTGCAAATCGGTATTTATCGTTAGCGAGAGCGTCCGTGATAAACGGAGAACATGATCCTACCTGAATCGATTCCCTTCGACGCAAGATCGCTCGACGGTTGCTGAAAAAATGATTCACCCCTGTCACTTGGGTGTGTCCAACCACAGCACGCCGTTATCCGAATCGAATCCCAATGATCGAGTATCGTGAATGAAACCTGACGTTGTCAGCAAACGATTGTCCGAGCCTTGACCATCACCAGGTGGTGCATTTGTTAGGGGGGTTCATCTTGGTTCCGATCGGGCAACGGAACGCGTCAGCGAATGCTTGAGAGTTCATCATAATACCGTTGACTCTAAACACATTTCAAAGCATCCTACTTATCCTCCAACCTCTTCGAAACTCTGCCAGGATCCATCGATAATGAAGATTACCTTTCTGGCTGAGGTGTATGATAATCGAGCTCAACGGAGAGAATATAGGCCTCGGCAGTCATATTGGAACAGTAAGTCTGCAACATAATCGAGTGAGGAAATAATCCTGGAGCAGGGCAAGGGTAATCTTGAGTCGATGAAAGGCGCTGTGTTTACCTGGGCGGCGCTTATGAAGAAAAGCTGGCTCGGACGAAGTCCCTCCAATCCGGGAAGACTTCGATCCTTCCCGTTCGTCAGGGTGTGCCAGGTTTTATAAGAGATCTGCAAGGCTCCGATATCGGCGACGTTCTCGTTCCTCGTCACGTTCCAATCGAACTGGAAGATCATTTCAACGATGAAGATACATATCGACTCAGGAAAATATACCTCTGTGACGACCTTGAAAGATCGAGAGCTTTCGATGACCAGTCACAGATGGCGCAGGGGCACGCGTCACGGATTAGGGTTCTGGAAAGATCAGAACCATCGAGAGCGTTCGGCGACGCGTACCCTCGACAAAGGAAAAAGACAATCGGGTACAACACACAGGGTACGCCAAGATGGATGGGGTGCACGTGTCACGGATTGAGGTTATGGAAGACCAATAATTCTAGGGGGCGTGCGAAGATGAAGATAATTGGATCATAGTAAATCGGACGCTCTGGATCGCCAGAGCAGTCAATCCTCCTCCTAAACCTCTCACCTGTACAGCAACGTCGTTCCCATAGAACTGAACTTTCCTCCAGAAGCTCCTGGCGTAGAGCCTCGCGACGCATTCGATCCGCGCTTCCAACCTCTTCCAAGACTCCGGCGTGATCCAGAGCCACTGATCGACGTTCATATCGGGATCCAATGGCAGTCGACGTCGATGGAGGTCGAAAGCGTGGAGGATCTCGTGGCCGATCACCGATCCCAATGTCGCGTGCGAGGCGTACGCGGGGCCACCGTCCCAGGACCAAGACCAGGCCGTCATCATCGCTAGTGGGATGCCTGAAATCGATCACCTATCTCGTAACCGAGGTACTTCCCAATATTGTTTACCACAAAGATGAATTATCCTTACCAATCGTGTTCGTCGAGGACTCGTAGTAGGCGCTGACGCTGTACGGGTGTCGACGTCTGTGAAAATAAAAATGGAGCTCGTGTATGATTCAGAAATAATTATGGGGAGTCAAAGGAGGTTAGGGAAGGCACAAAAATACTCACACAGAGTCGCCGATTATATTAAATAATAATATATTTGAAAGTAAAGAAGGATGAACTGTCGGTGATTATAATTATAATATTTAACAAGCGATTTGTTCATTTTTTTACGCGGGGAAAATTTTCGATAGATACCCCGTATCACTGGGAGGAGGGTTATTTGAGATTTTTATCCACTAAAATCCTCACAGTGGTCATTGAAGGAGCACTGGAGGAACATTGGGAACTCAAGACAAATACAATCGGTACCCTCTCTCAGAACTGCAAGCGTGGCTATTGTGGAGGTTTTAGTGAGTACAGATTTCACATAACCTCACTCCTCCCTCAGGTGACCGCAATATCTTTTGGAAGATTTTCCCCACGGAAAAAAGAAGAAAAAAAAAAGGGGAGAGGAAAGAGTTAGAATAGAGTTAGTGATCGGTTGTAAGAGTGGGCCCCAATTAGAGGCATGCCGTGGGGGAGCACCGATCGTGTTCCTCTGGAGTTCCCAGTGTTATCCCAACGCGGCGAAGATGGCCACTATCGGGGTTATACAAATCCCACATAACCTCGTCTCCTTCCTACCAGGGATACGGGGCCCACCTAATTGGGGCCCACCTCGAGGTCCTAACGCTTACAACCGATCACTAACTCTATTCTAACTCTTCTTCTTTTTTTCTTTTTTTCTTTTTTCGTTGGGGAAATCTTCCAAATGATATCCTAACCCCGGTACTCTAAGGGAGAATGAGGTTATGTGAGATTTGTATTCACTAAAACCCCCATAATAGCCACCCTCACCGCACTGAAAGAGAGTACTGAGACTTCAGTGAACATAATCAGCACTCTCCATAGTATACTCTTGATAGAGCTCATCCAGGTGGACACTCTATTCTAACTCTATCCTAACCTAACACTGACTGACTCCCAATCTCCTTTAACCCTATAATAACAAAAGAACTCACTTTTCGGTCACATTCCTCCGCAGAACCTTGTCGTCCACGGTCCGTATCTGTCGGAATCGCTTCATCACGGTGTGAAAGAAATCATCCGGGTCGATCTCCACCTGCCGGAAGTGACAGACTCGTCATAAGCCGAAAAACAGGACGAGAATACAACTCGAGCAAGCGCTCACCTCGGCCATTTCGCGGGCCAGCAGAGTCTCATTGTAGAAACCAGGCCACACGTGAAATCTTCCCCGCAACGAGTTCAGCTTCAGCAACGCCTGCGTCCTCGTCTCCTCGTCTAGCCAAGATTTCACCAAAATCCGCTCGGCGACTGTCTCTTTCACGCGCTCGAACAGTCCTGCCACCTGTTTGCGACACGTACCAATTTGTTTCGCCACGCTTTCCAGGGTGGAAAGAGTTGGGTTGGGGGAGCGGTAAAGAGCATTTTTCATCGCCTTACCCGGTTTGCCAGGGTCTCTAAATACTGCGGCGTGTACTGCTGCACGTACAGAGCGCCCACCACTTCTCCGAACACGTCCTTCGCGAGCTTGAAGCAGGCAAGCTCCCAGTCCTTGCTTCCCGTCACGTTCGCAATGTCGTGCAGGGTGTCCGTCGCGTACAGGAGCAACAGTCCGTTGTGAATGATCCTTCGGAACGAGAATTAACACGTGGGTATCAGAGATCTCTGTGTCTACCTTTCAATCCTCTCGTTATCGAGTTTTGACTTGGAGGCTTGGGTACCTCGCAGGAATTATCCGCGTTGAATAATAGAGAACGTGTGTTTCATCGTGAGATAATAGCCCCTGAGCTGTAATAACGAACAACTGACCTCGGGAGCATAACGAATTAACTGTTATCGATTACATCGACCTAGGTCGAGAGCCTAGTTAGACTTGCACCTTACAGTACAGACTTGGTTGCAGAAATTAGTAATAGAATATGCTAATATCTAGATCTGAACTGCCAGACTCGAGGATGGAAGCATCGAACAGTGGATCTTACAAGTGGATTTTAGGCTCATAGTGAATCGATGGCTAATTAACACATTGAGTACCGCTCATGAATTTTCTCGTGTTTTGCGCGCTATCTATCGTGGACCTTGGATGTCAATACACTGTCTTGTCAAAACGTGTGGTCTCTGGCGTATGTCCTAGAGATTTCTATGTGGTACGCAATGTGTTAGTAAACAGTGAACATGTCCTACGTTAGTAACGATTAACCCTTTGACCTAAAACCACGAGTGAGACTCGTGGTAAGGAATTTGTGCCATAAGCGAAAACCACGAGTCTACCTCGTGATGACGAATTTGGGCCACACGTGAAAACCACGAGTCTACCTCGTGATGACGAATTTGGGCCATTAGCGAAAACCACGAGTCTGACTCGTGAGTGATATGGTGAACGATATGGGGGTGATTCTAATCTTTGAGTCTAATCCTCTCGGTTTCCGAGATATTCCAAAAATATACTTTCAACCCCTACCTTTGAGGGTTGATTTTACCCTTTCGATACGAACGATAGCAGACAAAAAAATACGTGTCAAATATTTTTTTGAGAACTGTCTCTCACATAAACTTCATTAAAATCATCTTTCATTAAAATTTCACTAAAATACATCGAATGAGGGTAAAAAATGAATGTACTATAATTATAGGTACCTAGGCTTTTAAAATACAATCAAGAGATTGCCAACAAAGGGAATTTAAAGAAACTAATAGTTTTCGCAATAAATAACGTAGAGCTAAAAAAGCATAATGATTTACGAATTTTTCTACATATTTTTATTTTCGGAGATGCATTTGTTGCTCCCAGGTGGAAATGATTGAACACACTTTTCTAGCATTTTTGAAATTTCTCTGCGCGAGAGCTCGATCGATACCGAACGTTTTATGTCTAAAATAAATTTCCGCTTTTTATCTTATCGAGTGGCTCGCGTATTTAATAACGGAGTGCATATCAAAATTTAATACCTCTCGCGAGGTGTTTTAATTATAATCTATAATACGTATTCCGGAACATTGGGAATTTACGAAAATTCATCATCATTACTCCATTTTTTAATTTTATTATATATAAAATTACGTGGAATCGAGTTGAATAATAAAGGAATTACACGCGTTTGGGAGAATTTCGGAATTATTTTCACCGACGAAAACCAGCGAAGCTGATTAGCCTAATCGTCGTAGAGTCGCGCGTTGTCGGCGATATCGGTAAAAAGGTGAAACGCGAGTTCACCCAAATCGGAGAATGGGATCCATTTGTTTGAAAGCCATGAATGGAAGAACGGGAAAATGCAGCGGGGCCAGGGACAGCGATAATTTCGTAAATACGCGGAAACCCGGTTGCAGCTGCAACGGCGCGAACGGCGTGGCACAGATGGGGTGAAATTTCCTGACGAAGGGGTAATGGACGAATTAGGCACCGATTTACGATGCATGCGAGCCGGTATGAAAATTTATGGCCGCGCTACGTTTATTAACCGCGTGCATGGCCGGCGTGCGCTGCGTGCAAATTTCTAGCTCGCCAATGCTACGCCTAGCGTTCCAAACGCTCCCAGGGCTAGGCAACCCTCTCCGCGTATAACCTGCGCTTTTATTTTCACCCACCCCTAGCTTTCTGCCACATTAATCCTCGCGACGGTTATCACACAGTTTACATTTCGAGCGCTTAAAGCTTCGAAATTAGCTCTCGCGTGTTATATTAAGCATTTCATATAAAATTCGAGTTTCGAGGGGTGGTCGGGGGTGTTCGAAGTCGAATGTCACGATTGGGAAGAAAATAAAGTAGATTCCAGATTCGTGGAATTAAAATTCGCCCGATGGTTATGATAATTTTTAAGATGAGTTGGACGTCTCTTTGAAATTAGCTCGCGCGTGTTATATTAAGCATTTCATATGAAATTCGAGTTTACAGGGGTGGTCGGGGGTGTTCGAAGTCGAATGTCACGATTGGGAAGAAAATAAAGTAGATTCAAGATTCGTGGAATTAAAATTCGCCTGATGGTTATAATAATTTTTAAGATGAGTTGGACGTCTCTTTGAAATTAGCTCGCGCGTGTTATATTAAGCATTTCATATGAAATTCGAGTTTCGAGGGGTGGTCGGGGGTGTTCGCAGTCGAATGTCACGATTGGGAAGAAAACAAAGCAGATTCAAGATTCGTGGAATTAAAATTCGCCTGATGGTTATGATAATTTTTAAGATGAGTTGAACGTCTCTTTGAAATTTGCTCGAGGGTGTTATTATTTTAATTATTTCGTAAAAATTTCGAATTTCGTGGAACGTTTAAGTATCACAAATTAAATGTCGAGATTGGAAAGTAAATAAAGTGGACTTGTGATTTGTGGAATTAAAATTCGCGAATATTTAAAAGGTGATTTGGAAATCACTATGAAATTAGATTTTACGCCTGTATTTATTTGAATGGTCAGCTTGAAATTTTTATTTAAATTAACTCCATCAAATTTTGTATTTCGCGGGGTGTTCGTGTGTCAAAAATCGAATATCGAGATTGAATAGCGGTTAGGGTGGATAGAACGTGTGTGGAATTAAAATTCGCGTGATGGTGGCGAAGGTTTAAGAGATGATATGGACGTTGCTATAAAATTAGTCCAGGTGTGTTATTATTTAAATTATCTTTTCCAAATTTCGAATTTCGAGGGGTGTTAGTGCATCAAAAATCAAAAATCGCAATTAGAAAGTACACACAGTAGATTCGTGATTTATGGAATTAAAATTCGCATAATGGTGGCGAAAATTTAAGGGATGATTTAGATATCACTTTGAAATTAGTCCACATGTGTTATTACTTAAATTAACCCCGTTAAATTTCAAATTCCGACTAATTATCGAGTTGTGAAAATTCAGAAATTGCGATTGGAAATAAAATAAAGTGAACTCGTGATTTGCGGAATTAAAATTCGCGTAATGGTGACGTGGGTTAAGGGATGATTTAGACATCACTATAAAATAATTCCACGTGTGATATTACTTAAATTAACCCCCTCAAATTTCGAGTTCCCATAAATTATCGAGTTGTCAAAACTCAAAAGTCGCATTTAAAAATTAAATAAAACAGCCCCGAAATTTGCAAATTAATATTCGCACAATACAGTGACAATTTCAAATACGATTCGAATGTCACTCTAAAATTAGCCCACATACGCCATTATTTAAATTAACTTCTGCAAATCTCGAGTTTCAAAAAATCATTTTAAAAGTCAGAAATCACGATTAAATAATAAATTATTCATGCTATGTCACCTTATGTTTGCTTCTATTAGGTACTTAATGGCATCATTAACTGTTCCAAAATTTTATGTATGTTTAATTTGAATTCATCCTATTATCTTTAAGATACCACAATTTTTTAAAACAGGAGCAGTATATGTACCTTTACAGTCACCACAACTGTTTCAACATAATTTTTATTAATGTTAACCGTTTCTCCAAATCCCTTAAATTTGTTCTGTTCACCCACTAATAATCGATTTGCACGTCTTTCTCTTCACACACTCATTTTAAACATAGTATATTGTAACTCTTATCGACCAACAACAATTCTAGATAACTCTGTACTATATTATTATTTTGCTTATCATCAAAGGCTTATTACCCGTTAAAATAAATAAATAAATAAATAAAATATCCCCAACATCTGCAACATTAAAATTCGCATAACCGCGACGATTTAACAATCCATTTGCACGTCTTTCTCTTCACACACTCATTTTAAGCATAGTATATTGTAACTCTTATCGACCAACAACAATTCTAGATAACTCTGTACTATAGTATTATTTTTCTCGTTACCAAAGGCTTATTACCCGTTAAAATAAATAAATAAATAAATAAATAAAATATCCCCAACATCTGCAATATTAAAATTCGCATAACCGCGACGATTTAACAATCGATTTGCACGTCCTTCTGTTCACACACTCATTTTTAGCATAGTATATTGTATCTTTTAGTGGCCAACAACAATTCTAGATAACTCTGTACTATATTATTATTTTTCTTATCATCAAAGGCTTATTACGAGTTAAGATAAATAAATAAATAAATAACATAAAATCAACATCCGCAACATTAAAATTCGCATAACATCGACGATTTAACAATTGATTTGCACGCCATTTCGAAACCATTTCGCGTGCTATCGTTTCAATTACCTCCCACAAATTTCGAGGTTCGAGAGATGATCGAGAATGGAAAGCCGGATTCTTGGGATTAAAATTCGCTCGGAGGAATGGCGGCCGCTATGGTCGAAAAGCGGAACGAGTGCGAATATTAAGGACGATAGATGGCTGGGCAGAAATTGGCGGCAGGATGCGAGCGTCTCGTTGCGGAATACCTTCAGCAGTAATTATCGCGGTGGCTGGTTGTATTCATCCTCTGGTTGCGTCTGTCTAACGGAGATAATAACGAGGAACGAGCGTAGGCTGCCAAGAGTGGCGTTTTGGAATCCCGAATGTTTGCTCGACTATCGGCCGCTCTGCTATTAGGGTAAACTGACGAAGTTCCAGGCTGATAATTTGTATCTATCGCGCCTCGTTGGTCATACAATTCCGAAATACAGCCGAGTTTATATCCCCGATGTGTGTCGCGAATGATTCATCCAAGGTGAAGGTTGCTGAGATCATTCTG